CTCAGTTGAGAAAAAGGATAAATGAGTCATTTATTACACGTGAGTTTACAGAGGAAGAGGTTCTATTTCAACTGTCAAAAGTAAAGACAAATAAGTCAATGGGACCTGATGGAATACACCCAAAGCTATTAAAAGAGCTTAGTGGTGTACTAGCAAAACCATTAACAGATTTATTTAACCAATCATTGTTAACAGGAGTAGTCCCAGAAGATTGGAAGTTAGCGAATGTTGTGCCCATTTACAAGAAAGGTAATAGGGAGGAGTCGGGCAACTATAGGCCAGTAAGCCTTACTTCAGTAGTGGGGAAAGTGATGGAAACCATGTTAAAGGATAGGATTGTTGAACATCTAAAAACACATGGATTTCAAGATCAGAGACAACATGGGTTTACTTCAGGGAGATCATGCCAAACTAATCTTATTGATTTTTTTGATTGGGTAACTAAAATTATAGATCAGGGTGGTGCAGTAGACATTGCTTACCTAGATTTCAGTAAGGCTTTTGACACTGTTGCACATAGAAGGCTTATCAATAAACTGCAATCTTTAAGTTTGGATTCCAATATTGTTGAATGGGTAAGGCAGTGGCTGAGTGACAGGCAACAGAGGGTTGTAGTCAATGGAATATATTCGAAGCTTGGACTTGTCACCAGTGGGGTACCTCAGGGATCTGTACTTGGACCCATTCTCTTTAATATTTTTATTAGTGATATTGCAGAAGGTCTTGATGGTAAGGTATGTCTTTTTGCTGATGATACTAAGATATGTAACAGGGTTGATGTTCCAGGAGGGATAAGCCAAATGGCAAATGATTTAGGTAAACTAGAAAAATGGTCAGAATTGTGGCAACTGACATTTAATGTGGATAAGTGCAAGATAATGCATCTTGGACGTAAAAACCCAAGGGCAGAGTACAGAATATTTGATAGAGTCCTAACCTCAACATCTGAGAAAGGGATTTAGGGGTGATTATTTCTGATGACTTAAAGGTAGGCAGACAATGTAATAGAGCAGCAGGAAATGCTAGCAGAATGCTTGGTTGTATAGGGAGAGGTATTAGCAGTAGAAAGAGGGAAGTGCTCATGCCATTGTACAGAACACTGGTGAGACCTCACATGGAGTATTGTACACAGTACTGGAGACTGTATCTTTAGAAGGATATTGATACCTTAGAGAGAGTTCAGAGAAGGGCTACTAAACTGGTTCATGGATTGCGGGATAAAACTTACCAGGAAAGGTTAAAAGATCTTAACATGTCTAGCTTGGAGGAAAGACGAGATGGGGGGATATGATAGAAACATTTAAATACATAAAGGGAATCAACACAGTAAAGATGGAGACTATATTTAAAAGAAGAAAAACTACCACAACAAGAGGACATAGTCTTAAATTAGAGGGACAAAGGTTTAAAAATAATATCAGGAAGTATTACTTTACTGAGAGGGTAGTGGATGCATGGAATAGCCTTAGAGCTGAAGTGGTAGAGGTTAACACAGTAAAGGAGTTTAAGCATACGTGGGATAGGCATAAAAAAATTGGGCAGACTATATGGGCCGAATGGTTCTTATCTGCCGTCACATTCTATGTTTCTATGTTTCTATGTGTGTTTGTGCGTGCATGTGGATAGTTTGTGGGGACTGTGTTTGTGTGGGGACTGTTTATATTATTTTCATAAGAGGGAGGCTTATTCTGCAGCTCTGTGTTTATCTATCAGTGAGGGCAGTTTCCATAGCTAGTTACTGGTAAAGGGCAGGAGCTGCAATAGTTGCTGCGGGTTGCTCTACTCCGGGGGGGGGGGTTCCGAACAGCAATGCTGAGATCACATTCTCTAAATGCTGCAATGCGTAAATTGAGGATTGGCCTTCACTATCAGCAATCACGGTTTGCACTAAGGACTCCTGATAAGCCATGCCTGTTTGTCTCTGGTAGCCTTGAGTGTCGTACAAAGGCACCCAGAGTGTCATGCATGGCACATATGCCATAGGTTGCTGACCCCTGGCCTATATCACTGGGAACCATTTGGTAAAATTTTGATGTAGTGGTACTTGCTATCCCACAAGCTTGCAATTTACACCTCATCCTTGGCCACCTGATGGAGATGTGGCCAGGACATAGGACACACTTACGCACATCTTTTGGGAATGCTTCAGACTGACACAATTCTGGCACCAAATGGAAGCTATTATACACAACATGAAAAAAAATAACTGTACTCTTTAAGCCGGATTGTTATCTGTTACCCATAATACCAGCACTCACCACAGACCCACAATGGATGGTGATTATACACCTATTACTAGCAGCAAAGATAAGCAATCAAAAAGTGCACATACCCCTTCATTAGATGAGGTGTTTCAAAAGGTAGATTCTACATACTATCTGCAAAAGATGGCTTATAGGCTACAAGGTAGGGAAGCTATTCATAGCAAACAATAGTAAATGTGGTCAGAATCGTTTAATTTCTAAAACACTTTAGGTATATCCATTAAAGACTTCCCACAAAGATAAGACTTGGATAGAGTCTGCAACCTGTAAATAATTCAAACGAGCCCTGGGTACCCCCCAATCCCTCTTATTTCCCATTTCTCTCCTTCACTTTTAATTTAAATTTTTCTCCACTATTTTTACAATCGTCATCTCTTTTCTCTATTTGACATTTGACAAAAGTGCATGGTTTTCTATTACCACTGACATTGTCTAAAAGAAAGCACAGTGTGTCCATTGAGATATTGTGCCTTCAGATTCTTGATTTGAAGTTTTCCAGGCAGAATAATGTATATGATATGACCAGGCTATATGTATTGCTCTGGCTATAAAAATGTTGAAGATGGATGCATCTTAACTATCTATGTATGCTCCACATGCACTGTACAATGTGATTGTATGCTATTATTTCTGTTGAAAAGTTCAATAAAAATGAGATATTAAAAAGAAAAAAAATTATATATGTATATGTGTGTGTATATATAAGCAGCAAAAAGAACAATCTTTAGTTGATATAAGACTTTTTATTTATTCCATTAAAATGATGTCAACATTTAAGCTCCAGCATGGAGCTTTCATCAGGACAAACAAACTTGCTGACATGTTGAAATCATTTTAATGGAATGAATAAAAGTTAAGTCTTATTTTAACTAACATAAAATCCGTGCAATGCAGTTCTTTTTGCTGCTTCTACATGATTTGCCAGACCTGCACCAGCAATACCACAATTGACCAGGAGTGCAAACCTTTGCTGTTTATATCCACGGTTCGAGCACTCAGGAGTCCTGGTCTTGTTTATGCCCCGGTGAGATCTCAAGCCACAATATACGTATAAAAGATGAGAGCACTCTGGGGTCTTTATAGATGTGAAGAAATGCTTTTATTCAGCAGAAAACATACATCGACATTTCAGTTCAGAAGAACTTTTTTCAAGACCATCTTTATATATATATATATATATATAGTTTAACAAAGAATCACATTTTTGCCTCATTCCATTTTAAACATGGATTCCTTTTAATTTGTGTTTGCAGTATACAACTGCTTGGAACACAATTTAGGATAAGATGCAAAACCAGTGAAGCACTCATGGACAGCTGTTTCGTTGTTAATGCAACTCTTCAGCATGAGGTTGGTTACTGGTTTGCTAATTGAGGCTTGGTAGTGCTTGGGAAGCAAAATCTAAATAGGTTATGGTGGGGAAAAATTGTGATTGAAAACCCCTTCCACCTGAATTATGTGGATAGTTAATACAATGCTAAACAAAAATCTGCACACCAGTCAAGCCATAAGACTTGCTTTTCCCACAGAAATCCCAAATCAGCAGTGATGTTACAACCGCAAAGGATTCTGGGTGGGCATATGCAAATTAGTTTAACAAAGAATCACATTTTTGCCTCATTCCATTTTAAACATGGATTCCTTTTAATTTGTGTTTGCAGTATACAACTGCTTGGAACACAATTTAGGATAAGATGCAAAACCAGTGAACCACTCATGGACAGCTGTTTCGTTGTTAATGCAACTCTTCAGCATGAGGTTGGTTACTGGTTTGCTTATGGAGGCTTGGTAGTGCTTGTGAAGCAAGATCCAAATAGATTATGGTGGGGAGTGGTTCACTGGTTTTGCATCTTATCCTAAATTGTGTTCCAAGCAGTTGTATACTGCAAACACAAATTAAAAGGAATCCATGTTTAAAATGGAATGAGGCAAAAATGTGATTCTTTGTTAAACTAATTTGCATATGCCCACCCAGAATCCTTTGCGGTTGTAACATCACTGCTGATTTGGGATTTCTGTGGGAAAAGCAAGTCTTATGGCTTGACTGGTGTGCAGATTTTTGTTTAGCATTGTATTAACTATCCACATAATTCAGGTGGAAGGGGTTTTCAATCACAATTTTTCCCCACCATAACCTATTTATATATATTTATATATATATATATATATATATATATATATATATATGTCCTAACATCCTAACTGTATTTTCATAATACAAAGTCAAGTACAATATCAAAATACACTTAGAATGAAGTAATATATATATAAATATATAAATAAATAAAAATAAATATACATATATACATATAATTGCATAAATAATTACATAAATATACACAGAATTTAAATAGATGTATTTATATATATATATATATACATATATATATATATATATTTTTAAATTCTATGTGTATATTTATGTACCGTATTTTTCGCTCCATAAGACGCACTTTTTTTCCCCTCAAAAGTGAGGGGAAATGTCTGTGTGTCTTATGGAGAGAATGTGAAGAATTACTTACCTGTCTTGGAGCGTGGGCCGGCTTCACAGCGCGCTCCGCGGTCCAGGAACTTCTATTTCAGGTTCCGGTTTCCGGCGGGACTGAAAGGAAGTGTGCACACTTCCTTTCAGTCCCGCCGGAAACCGGAACCTGAAATAGAAGTTCCTGGACCGCGGAGCGCGCTGTGAAGCCGGCCCACGCTCCAAGACAGGTAAGTAATTATGGGACAAGGGGAGGGGGAGACACTATGGGACAAGGGGAGGGGGACACTATGGGAGAAAGGGAGGGGAGACACTATGGGACAAGGGGAGGGGAGGAGACACTATGGGACAAGGGGAGGGGAGGAGACACTATGGGACAAGGGGAGGGGGACACTATGGGGACAAGGGGAGGGGGAGACACTATGGGACAAGGGGAGGGGGACACTATGGGAGAAAGGGAGGGGAGACACTATGGGACAAGGGGAGGGGAGGAGACACTATGGGACAAGGGGAGGGGAGGAGACACTATGGGACAAGGGGAGGGGGACACTATGGGAGAAAGGGAGGGGAGACACTATGGGACAAGGGGAGGGGGGACACTATGGGACAAGGGGAGGGGGGACACTATGGGACAAGGGGAGGGGGAGACACTATGGGACAAGGGCAGGGGGACACACTATGGGAGGGAAAGTGCACTATGGGACAATGGGAGGGGGGACACTATGGGATCAGAACACTAATGGACAAGGGGAGGAGGAGTTAAAGAACACTATGGGACAGGGTAGGAGGGGTTAACAATCACTATGGGACAGGGTAGGAGGGGTTAACAATAACTATGGGACAGGGTAGGAGGGGTTAACAATCACTATGGGACAGAGGAAAGGGGGGTTAAAGATCATTATGGGACAGGGGAGAAAAAAAAATATTCTGAACAAACTGTCCCATGGTAAGAAACACTATGGAACAGTTTGTTCAGAATATTTTTTTTTCTGGGTTTCCTCCTCTAAAAACTAGGTGCGTCTTATGGTGAGGTGCGTCTTATGGAGCGAAAAATACGGTAATCTTTATACACAATTAAGTGATTTTATTAATTACAATTTGAGGGACCTGCCTGACAACCCAGACAGAAAGTCCAGATAATTTAATTTTCAAGCCCTATAGTTAACCCTGTAAGCACTGGCATACATACCAAGGCCGCAGGGGTCGCAGCTGCAACCGGGCCCATCACTCCAGGGGGCCCAGCTGCCCTGCAGACCCCTGCAACTGGGTACCCGCTGCCATGTTTTGTGGCCCCGACCCGCGAGGCAAACCACAGAGGCCGCACATGAAGGGGTCCATTGGGGCCACCCGATGGAGATGGATTGTCAGGGGGCCCGGTCAGCACTGTGATGATGTCAGACAGAGCTGGGAGGAAGTGACTGCCTCGGTGGTTCCAAGACCACCAGATATGTACATATGTACTCTCCTCTTCTAGACACCACCAGCATATATCTGGATTGCTTTTTTAAATTTTGTGTAGAAAATATAGAACCCTATACCATCTAGCCAAAATCTTATATGAATTCTCATGTATAATTATAGATAATGAACATGTTATTTCTGTCATTTTATTCCATTGTTCATTTATGAATATTAATCCAAAGTCTATCTCCCACTTCCTAATGTAGTAACATTTATTAGATGTTTCATTTTCATTTAACATTCTATATACTTTAAATGTCAATCTAGTCTGAGATTCCTGTGTACAACATAACTTGTACAAAAAAAAAGTAGGTGCTTTTGAGATAGAAGCTTTTTGTTTTAGAGTTGTTATGTAGTGTAGAATTCCATTTTCCATGTAGTGTCTCTGAAAACTATAATCTTGTTGTTCATTTGATCTGTTGTATTCATTTAGAAAGTAACCAATATTGGGGTGTGTTACCTTAGGTGGAAAGATTCTTTCTATATTTCCTCTATCTAGACCTGGTGGAAATTCCTCATTAAAAATAAGGGTGTTGGGGGCGGGGGAGGGGGGGATGGGGGCATGGCTGACAGCAAACAATCCAGACGCATGAATGTGGAGCTCTGTCCGGAAAATAGAACAAATAACACCACAACAGGTGACCGGATCCCAAAACAAGAGCCAAAACCCCCATGACCATATAGCCATCTAAAAGGTCCACACTCTACACCAGTACTCACACGCCCTCCCTTCCCCACTCCAGCCACCGCCTGGAAAAAGCAGACATCTAACACCCCACACTATATAAACCCATAAGCCTACAACACGCAGCATTCACCAACAGGTGCACTTGGCTGCTTGTTCATAGGTAGTTAATATTTTAACCGTGGCTCTATTGGGTCTAAATACCCTTGGGCCAAAAGCTGTAGGCTTTATGTTATAACCCCTTCTCTTTTGTGATTAGTTTATGTTCATCAGTTTTAGCCTTTTTATTTACCATTTATTTACCACTTAAGGATACCTAGTGCAGAATGATACACCGTTTATACATTATCTCAGGAACAGCTTACACTTATCCAGGATCCCTCCAATATGTTATACACCATATTGAACTTACAGATGTCATAATGTGTTGACTCATATATGATGTTGTTGATTATTATTACCTTATTAGTCTAATACCGCGATAAAGATGTATTTTGTGTGTGCAAAACTTAATAAAATACAAATTAAAAAATATATATATATAAGGGGGGTTATTAAAGAATTTTTAGAAATAATATTTTTTTTAAATTTATTTCCTTTGAAATTTTATAGGTACAAATGACAGTAGGGTGATGATGAATGTCTCTAAGAACCCGATCAATATTATATAACCAAGTAACTAACTGAATGAGAACATTAAAAGCATTTTGTTCATCCAGGAAATTGTCCCATTATGTCCTGACAGATATATTCTTAAATATAAAATTTTATTTTTTACCCATTTAAATGTAAATTTTTTTGGTAATAAGTTAGCATGTTTTTTTCAGTAATTGAAATATTTAGTATTTCCGATTTGGATTGATTTACTTTATAGCCTGCTAATTCTCCATAAGCTTTTAGTTCTTTGATAATATTAGGAAGGGATATCTGAGGCTTTGTGACAAAAAATGAAAGGTCAATATTTTATATTGTTTACCCCTTATTTCTAAACCAGTAACATCTATATTTTTTCTTTTGGCATTAAGTAGAGGTTCCAAGACTAATGTGAACAATATCGGGGACAGCCTTGAAGTGTTCCGTTCAACAGGGGAATTGGACCAGGTAGATGGCCATTAATAAAGATGTTTGCAATAGGTGTATCATGTAACCCATTTATCCATTTTAGCATTTTAGGTCCGATGCCTATATGTTCCAAAACTCTAAATAAAAAGTCCAATTCACTCTGTCGAAAGTGTTTTCGGCATCTGGTGATAATATTAATGCCGGTACTTTATCTCTTTTAGATTCATATATTATATTAATCACCTTAGTTGTGGCGTCTCTTGCTTCCCTACCTGGGACAAACCCAACTTGACCTGCTCCAATTAAAGATGATACTGATTTTTTTATTCTTTCACTCAATATTTTAGCGAAGAGCTTAATATCGTAATTAAGCAGTGATATTGGTCTATAGCTTGTGCATAATTCTTTGTCTTTTCCCAGTTTTGGGATTACTATAAGCTGGGATTCTTGTGATTGTATTGGAAGATTTTCATCTTCAGATAACGCACAATACAATTTCACAGGGTTAGGTTCTAAGATGTCTAAAAAAGTCTTGTAGTAGACCATTGTTAGTCCATCTGGTCCGGGACTTTTACCATTTGGAAAAAATGTAATAGTCTTATTTATTTCTTCAAGTGTTATAGGTTGATCTAAGCTCTTGATCATGTCATTATTTAATTTTTACTTTCATATGTTCCTTTAGATATTGCTTAATCTTTTTATTTCTATATTTTATATTTATATTCTTGTTGGCTGAAAGGTTGTATAAATCATGGTAATATTGAGAGAATATTTCTACTATTTGTTCTGTTATATTAAAAGTATTTTCTCCTTTTTTGATTTTTTGAAATATAATTTTGTGCCCTCTTTTCTGTTAACATTCTAGCGAGAAGCTTATCAGATTTATTGCCATATTGGTAAAACTGGCTTCTTACAATACAATTTCTTTGTATTTTTAAGTTTACTTTTTTTGCCAAGTGCGATCTTAACTCTACGAGTTTATTATATATCTCGGGTGTAGCATTTAGTTTGTGAGAAGTTTCTAATTTAGTTATTTTATCTATTGTATTTGTACAAGTGGCCATATTCTTTTTCTTAATGTGTGATCCCACTTAATAAATTGTCCTCTAAGGAACACCTTATGTGCCTCCCATATATGTGATATTGGTACATCCGGAGTATAATTTTCAATAAAAATATTGTGATATGTATGATCTGAACATAACTATCCACCCACTAGTTTTTAATAAGTTTTCATTTAGTCTCCAATTATATATCTTCTTTTTTAATTATGGAATTTTTAGACTGAATATGATAGGAGAGTGGTCAGTCCATGTTCTAATACCTATTTCTGTTTCCTCCACTAAGTGTAAGAATCTATGTGTCATATAAAAATAATCTATTCTTGAATGTTGTTTGTAGGGAGCAGAATAAAAAGTGAAGTCTTTTATATCTGGGTTGAACATTCTCCATACATCCATTAATTGTAGATCATTCAGATCTTTTTTAATATGTTTAAGCTTTGAGTATCTAAGTGTAGAGGAGCATGTAGAGGTATCCATTAGTGATGCCCTCAGCAATTTAATTCAGTTTGTTCACTATAGAACCTATAAAGATGTTTTGTTTATCATTAGGGACATAAATATTTACCAATGATATCTGTTGTTTGCCCACGGATCCCTTTGGGAATATTGCTCTTCCTTCTTTATCATTCCATTTTTGTTTAATCACATTTATACAAATTTCCACCCCCTTCTTCTTTTGTTTAGGTGAATGAGAAAAGTATATTTGCGAGAATTTGTAATGATTTATCACTGGCGCTTTGTCTCTAATATCGATATTACATTAGTTTAGTTCTCTAAACATTAATGATCTTTTTAGGGGAGAATTTAATGCATTAGCATTTATTAATAGTGTTTTAAAATTATCCATTAAATTAATGTACTTCTTTTCCTCCTTTCCTTCCTTCTCCTTTCCTTTCTTTTTAAATTTTCAATAGGTTTAAGGTCATAGGAGGTCTTGTTTCCGTGTGGCTAACAGGTAGATTTAGTTGGTTGTAGTTGGTGGAACTGGTTGTAGCAAAGGGAGTTGAGGAATGGACGATTCTGGGAACAAACAAACAAAAATACATATAGAAATTCAAGCTCTCTCGAGTATATATCCCTCCCCTTATTGGGTCCCTTGATTCTTTAGGGGCTTTCATCATCTACAAAGCCATCGTGTTCTTAAGAGTCTATAGACACCTATGGGTTTAACAAAAACAAATAAAAAATGTGAGAAAAATAAAGATTCCATAACCTCCCTCCACGGGAGCAATCTTATTTTTACTTGTCTTGTTACTGCTTTATATGTGGCTGACCCACTTTAACTAAGGGTGTAAAAAACCTGATATAAGGGGATGATATTGGGCAGGGGGGAGGGGGAGACTCCATAGGCGGGAAAAGTCACAGTAGGGCATGTCTGTGGGATA